TTCAAACTTTCTGTATCATCTTATACAACCAGCAACATCCCTGTATGTCAGCTTTCCTAAATCACAGCCCCACAGTGCACTGGAAATACAAAAGCATTAGTATCTATGAAGTATTTGGAAGACATTGTTGAGTTGAAAATACCATTTCAGAAAGAAACAAAATTATTTCACAATTTTAATATAAATTTGCCTTTGCTAATTCTATTTTTTTTTTGTTTTTATGACATTTCTCCTCTTCTGTTAAAGAATCTGTTGTACTAAATCCATTTAAATTATTGTCCCCTGCATATCAATCCTAACCCAGCAATGAATTATTGTATCTTACAAAATAATGTTAAAAGGCAGAATCCCAACAATCAGGACAGATTTATTTCACACTTACTGTGCAGTCATTACAATGACCTTACATTGAAGCCGTCTTGCATTTTAGGAAAAAAAAAATTAAATTAAAAAAAGCATTAAAAAAAACCTCCAAGAGCCGTGCGACCATGTGACTGAAGCACCCAGAAAGGCTTTCAAAATTAAGTCTGAGTTCAGCAACTCTGGGAAAGAACTTTTCCTGTCAGCCTTTGTGAATAAATTTTTCAACTCCCTCAGATCTTAAAAAGATCTCTTCGATCCATGACAGCCCTCTGGGGTGCCCATACTGGCCATGACTAAGTTTATTCTACTAGAAAGCTTACTCTGACTCACTGCCAGTTTGTCCTGCCAGAGGCAGACACAGGCTGGAGCTGTCCCCAGAGAGGGTCCCAAGAGGACAGACCTCTCCCAGCTCGGGCTGTGCCGCAGGCTCAGGGCGTGTGACAGCACCAGGGGACACCTGCCCCAGCTCTCCTTTTGCAAGGAGTGCCATGGGCAGGGGTGCTTCCTGCACCTCCCTGCATGGCTGCCACGGGAAAGATGTTTTTGTTCCTCACTCCTGGCTCAGGGCAGGATGCAGAGCTTGGAGCACCACGGCAAGAGGTCTTATGGACCAGGGTGGCTAAAGGCACCTTATGCCACGGGCTGGTGCAACAAATAGCCAGTGCCTTGGGGCTGGCAGTCTAGAATATGCTTGCAGCTAGTACCTAAAGCTTCTCTCCTGCCTGGAGAATTGAAAATCATAAAAAGGTGATGTTTTGACTGATGTCTTTTAATGAACTTGGCTATGACTCCTTTCAACCTCCAGAGTTCTTCCCTGCACCTACTTCAGGGGTGAATGAAGAGCCCAATCCCATCAAGGGGACTCCTCCTCCTATCGATTTTGGTTCCAAAGTACTCAAGCTTTGCCTGAATGATTTCAGTTCTATTTTAAAGGTTTAGGCAATCTTAAGAACAATCTCAGCTATTTTAACTACGTTAATTTGATCATACTAACCTACAGTTTGCAGGCTCAAAATTCAACATCCACAGCTAATGATGACTCAGACTACTAATTTCTTCGTAGATTTTTTTTTTCTCCTTTTATTTTTTTGGAAAACAAACCATCTCACAACCTTCTGTATTACCATATTGGCAGTTATGACTTATACAACCAGACATCACAGACTTTCGGAGCTGTATCATCAATGGGGGGGGTTGGATGACCAAACCTATTCCATTGGGGAATCTAAATTGGTTAGACTCATTGTTTATATTACAATTTTCCCCTTAGGGCACAAATAGTCTGCTAGGGAACTGTAAATGAAGGTACATGCTGGCCTTGAGACAAAACCACCCACATTAATTAAATTTAAATCAGTGCTTCCTCCAGGAAACAAAGAGTTGTATTACTTACAAGCAGATTTGATTATGGTTTGGAGAACTGTTTAAACACATCTAGCACATCAAAGGAAAACAGATTTAAGCTGCTGTGCTCATTGTTTAAGAAATACTGGTTGATTGATGCAAAGATCAACATGATTGATGACTCCCTGTAACAATTTAGTGGAAACACAGGCCATAGTAAAGGTAGAAATATCCAGTTTCATCAAAATATCTTCAGATTTTATATTTTAAATTAAGGATAAGATAGTCTCATTCTAACATTTTTAAATAAAATCAAGTTCATGAAAGCAATATAATAAATCAGTTTGCAATATCATGTTGGCCTCTTCTTCAAGGCCATAAAAACACCCACTAATCTCATCATCCACAACATACCTAAAACTTCCAAAACACCACAGCATCCAAGATGTCTTTATGCACGTTTGTGAACTATAGCATCCAGTACACATGCAGATTCATACAGCAGCATGCAAACAGCCTAGCAAGGAAAGGGTTAAGACAAAAGAACATTCTCAAAGCAATTAAAATAATTCCCCTAGATCATTCTGTATGTGAAAAGAATTGTAGCTGGGAAGCTGGCTGGTATCAGTTCAGAAGTTGCTGCTGATCTGACACAAGCCAAAGGAACCAGCAAACTGCAAGGAGAAAGCTGCTAGATGAAAGAAAAACCCAAAAAATCCCATAACACACAGAGCAGAAGGTTCATGTTAAGAATCAGTTGGATCTCCTTTACTTTGCAGAAACAATTATTTTACTTTTAATTTCAAAGAGGCTTTGTGGGAAAAGACTGAAGGAAATATAGCTCATTTTGGCACAGCACACATTGCACAAAATAAATTTAAGAAACTATTTTTGGGCTAGAATGGTTGAAGAAATCCCTGATTAGCCTCTTAATGGGGTGAATCCAATTTATTGAGAATGATCACCAGAGGGAGTCATTGACTTTCCCATTAAAGTCAAAGGGAATTTTACATACATCAGGAATGCAGAATTGGGGGACAGAGCTGAAAAAGACTTCAAACAGATTGGAGTCCAGGGAACAACACAAACCACGGGTTTATGGATTTAATCTGAATCCATTTTCCCATTTGGAGTCCCAAAGGATGACAGCTATATTCAATGGTTAAAATTAGAAAAAAGGCACTAAAGTCATCCATTCAGTGGGTACACACCCACAACAACAGGAAAAAAAAACACAAAAAAACCCCAAAACCCCCCAAAAAACACAAGCAAAAAAAAAAAAAGAAAACCAATCCCAAAAACCAATCGTCCACTCACCCACCCAACCAACGAAAATCCCCCAAAAAACCCATCAACAAAAAAAATCCCTTAAGCACTTAATTGGTTGCACAGGAATTTGGAGTGCTGTAAGTAATAACTGCTCAGTTTTCTCTTTGGACATGTATCAGTCCTTCTGAAAATGCAGTATTCAACAACACAAAGAAAATGTCCAAGTGCCATTTATTAGAGTATGCCATACCTCTTGGGAATATCAGTAAAAGAAAGGAGTGAAATGGAGTAAAAAAGAATTGTTAGCATAGGGTATTTTTTTTTGTTTTGTTTTGTTTAATTTTTTGTCTTCAATGCTAGTGACTAAAAGAGGTAGTGAGCATAGGGATTTGTGAGCAAAGTGATAAAATGAACTAATCAGACAAACCAGTGTATTCAGCCACAAGCAAATATGCATTTTATGCTCAAACACCTAAATTTCATGACCTTCAAGAAATATTTTCATGTTAAGAACCTGTCTTTTCTTTGCTGGACTTCAGCTCAACCATATTCTTGCCATAAAAGCCCAGCCGACTTTGGTTGAAAACAAGCTCATTCACTCAGCAACTTTCTCCTTAATTCTGTACAAGAAGATTTTATAGCAGAAAATTAGATTAAAAAAGGGCAAGGCAACAGCCCCACCCAACCAAATGCAATTTCACTTCCCTAGAAATGTCCTCAGAACAAATGGAATTCAATTTGTTTCTGTCTTCCCAGGTAATGGCAGCACCTTGTTTTCTTTGTTTTTATTTAATTACTTCTTGTTCATGTAATTAGCTGACAGACTGCAGCCTTTTGTTCATTATAATACAGTTATTTGCATAGCTGTTTCCATTTTGAGGCTGAATTTTGGACAGAGGCTCTATTTTGGGTTGTGGCAGGCAGAGCCACTGCTGGGAAGCCTCATGCAGGGAAGCATGCAGCAACCTGGTCTTTCGTGGAATGAGTTGCTCCAGGAACAGCCCTGGCTGCCCATCTGCTTCTGAAGGCAAATCAAAGTCCTGTTTCCAGCATGCAGCATAAGACCTGGCTGTCTTTCATCATCATAAGTATCACTGAAAACCCGTTGAGCTCGTTCTAAAGCATTTTCACCAACAGACTGTCCATGTCATAATTTACTGTGCTTTAGCTTGAATATTAGGAAAAATTTCTTGACTGAACGGGGTGGTCAGGCATTGGAGTGAGCTGTCCAGGGAAGAAGTTCAATCATCATCCCTGTAATTGTTCAAAAAACATGTAGGTGTGGCTGTCTGGGACATGGTTTAGTGGTGAACATGGCAGTGCTGAGTTAAGTGTTGAAGACCTTAAGGGTCTTTTCAATCCCACATGGTTCTATGGTTCTGTGGCATCACTCAATGTATGCTTAATTTAAAGTTATCAGTACTCTTTCAGTGGTTGGATGAAAAAATTTAGACATGGAGGCCACCTTAAGTTTTCTTTCATGAACAGTTTAACACGCAGTTGAGTCTAGTGCTATTCAAATAATTTTTTGCATAGTTAAATCTTATTTTTAAATAATCAAAATATATCCCCAGATCACCATTTTGCAGAATGCTGACCCTTCCCATCAATAAATGCAGCAAACATCACCCTTCAAGTCCTCTGAGTTTCCAGCAGTGAACTGATGCAAGCTTACTTTGATCTAGGCTGCTCAGAATTTCAGGAATCTGCACCTTATTATGAAAATGAGGGGCAGAGTCAGTGCTGGGGGAAGACTGCACACTGGTGCACAGCAGCCACCTTCATCTCAGCCTCCATGCATCTAAACACCCTCAGACCTCTACCTCTGAGGAGAAATTATACATCAACACATCAATTTACACTGCTTGAAATATAGAGAGCTGGAACAGACAGCTTGGAAAAACTGTCAAACTTTGCTGTTTACAACTCAGCCCTCGTATCCAACCCACTGCTGTGGTCAGGATTAGTCCTGTAACCAAAAGCAGCAAGGCCCAGCCTTTTCACGGCACCGGTTTTAGTCCTACCTGTGCCATCTGCCTCTCCAGCTTTGACCGGGGAATGTCATCAAAATAGTTTTCATTTCTTCTTCTCCTTGCATCGCCCTGCATGATAATGTGGGGAACGTCCAGGGAGCCACCAGTAGTGAAAGTGCTTTGGCTAAGTGATGGAGACAACTGAGGAGGAGTGTGGTTACCACTGGGTTCCTGGACAGAGAAAGAAAAATGCAGCATAAGAAGAACAGCAGATTGCTGACTTCAAATCACACATTTAAAAGTGCATTTGAATTGCTCACACTAAAAAAAAAAAAAAATGGAACAATTCCTGCAGTAGAGGTTACTGTGGAGAAACTTCTGAGATTTGCTACCTGAAGTGCAGAGCCCACTTAGAAGGAAAAATAGTTCATTGATTACATGAACTAGTGGCAAATTTCCTTCCCAAAAGCTCCTTGTGTAATATATACTCTCTCCTAGAGATAAAACAGTGAGCTACTTCTTGTCAAGGCCCAAATAAAGTCATTATTTAGGATTAGCTGTTTGTAAGATGAAATACATTCTCACCGCTTCTGAGCAGTGAAAATGATTTGAACACCAGCAACACCTCTTTCTGGAAAAAAGAAATGCTTGCCATTTACACAGTATAGACATTTTGTTGCAATTTTTATAGGTTTTGCAGAACATCCATTTTAACTTGAAGTACCAGGTATCAGACACAAGCTAAATACCAATTCCTGGAATGCATGAAAGTGTCAGAGTACAAATATTTCTTTTCTTTTTACCTCTACCAAACTACCCTGTATCAGTCAGTGTGCAAATACAACACAGAACTGATACACAGGTGCTACCTAATAAATAGACAGGTCCTCCTGGTGTACATTTCACCAGGATCTGCCACCACACTGCCCACAGCCAGACATGGTGCTGTATGTTTGGAAACACCCAGTCTCAGGCGCATGACATGACTTGTTCAACCAGCTGCAAACATTGGTGTCCGGGTCCAGCGTCCCACATTCTCTTGGAGCTCCATCAGCAGGAGCAGGGAGCCACAGTGCACTGTCCAGTCTGCACCAGCACCACCCTGTGTGAGCAGGAAAACACTTCCACAGCAACTGAACGGGAAATGTTCCTCTCTTGGGATGTGGGGTACTGGGCGGAACGTGCCCAGGAGCAGGTCTGCTCAGTGCAGACTTTCTCTAAACCACTTGTTGCTGCAATGCTCTATTTCAATACTCAGCAACAAGAGGGAACCTGAAGATGGTGGAGCAAGCAAAAACCTGCCCCAGTGTGGATGGTAAAAAAGTTCTGCCTTTTTATTTAAAGAGAAGAATTAAAGCGGATGATTCATGCATTATTACACTGAAGCAAGCCCAGCTCTGAAAAGCATCAAGGTACTTTACTCCATGCTGTTAAGAAACAAGATCTGGTGTAAGAAATCAGAGACTTGTAATCTCTTCCAAATGGAAAGGAAAGTTCAAGTCATAGTAATGCCTGATGTCAATATTTGAAGTGTAGGAGTCTATGTCACATTATTCCTTGCAATCACAGTAATGGATTAGTATTTTTTGTCTTGCCAGCAAGAAAAAATGTTAGGAAAATATAGTTCTTTAGTAATTTTTAATTAACTGGGATTTCAATTTCTTAAAAAAAAAATTCTCTGGCTTTCCTATGATCTGAGACAAGCACTTGACATTTCCCAGGGCAAAGAAAAGAGTATTTTCCTTTTAGGAATAATCTTTTCCCTCCTTCACAAAAATCCACCTACATTTGGCCCAGTTAAAAGCTTCTGGAAAGCTGTATTCTGCACATGCTCAGTAGGTTTGGTGAGGCATAACCTCTAAAACCCACTCTCCCTGGGCCTAACAACATGGTGCACACACCTCTGCTCTGAAAATAACCTGAGTACATGGGCACCAAACAAGATCCTCTTTAGTGAGTGCTACCTGCTGCTTCAGCCAGGAGGGTAACCTCTCTCTGCTCTGAATCAGGATTCACCCACTGCTGCAGGGCCACCAGTGTATCAAAGTGACAGATGAACACAGAGAGTCCAGCCCTCATCCAGCTTTTCATATTTTAACAAACTGCATATGAGGAGGAAATTCACTCTGAGATTTTTTTGGAAGATTGCTGGCACGGCAATAGAGACAAGAACTACCAACTCAAGAAATAAAAGAATTACTGTGCCTCTGCATTATGGAACAGTATGTCATTGTACAATTTTATGCTATTTTCTCAAAGTTGTCCTTCACAGCACAGATGGATCCTCAACTGTGCAGCGTGTTGTCATCTACTCAGCACCGTGTTATCATTAGTTACCGTGTAGTCAGTATTTTATTCTTGCCTCGATTCATGGCCCCAAACCTCTCTCCTAAACCCTTTTAAAATCCTGCTCTGAAGATAAGACAATTAATATCGTCATAGTCATGATGCTCATAAGTGCTTTACAAATGTCAGTCAATTAATTTTCACCACACCTGCGACTTCTGGCATTTCATAATCACTGCTTTAGTGTGGGTGATCAGAGACACTCAGACAACAAAGGTTAGAAAGTACCAGTCACCCAATTACAACATCTATTGTTCGATTTCCCAAGTGCTTGAGTTCCAAACTCCACGTCTGTTGATCTAATTTTCAGCACTGTGTACTCAGCACTTGTATAAATCAGACTCAAGACTCCAGTCAAATATGCAGATTGTCAGTAACGTACAATTAGTGTCTGTTTAGGAGGCAATTAATTAAATAACTTACCACGAATTATCCAAATTTTTTGTGGCAGAAACAGGTGTAAGTCTATAGTTTCATAGATACAGCTATTCCTTTAATCATGAGCATGTCTCCTATTCTTCCTTCATTCCTCTTCCTCACTCCATACCCACCTTTTCACCTCCTTGAACAAACCTGCAGACCAGGCACGGACATCCTTGCAGGAGCTACCATGGCCTCAGTACCACGCTACTGTCAGTAACCAGATACTCATATCGTGTTTCTACCTGGCTGTGAAAGCAGGGACACATCACTTGCAGGGATGTCTGATCACATATTTCACTCTCAAAATCTGCCTCATCCCCTCTGAGACCTGCTGCTCATGTACACCTGAACCACAGAGGTCAGGGCTGGAAGGGAGCTTAAGAGATCCTTTCCCAAGCTGCCTGGGCACACTTCATGTCCCACAGATGTTTGTCTAACCTGAAACCAGGAATTCTCTCCAGTGAACTAATTCTTGTGTCAAAATATCATTACTATTGCAACATTTCTCCAAATTTTCTGCCAAAATTGTTGGTCCTTCAGTTTAAATTCTGGCCTCCAGTGCTGACTGGGTGAGGAATGGCGCCCATGGAGAACATGGAAACTGGTCCTGTAATTAAAGATTACTCAAGGAAAGGATGCATTCAAGGAAAAAAAAGTAAGATTGCATAGGTAACCCAAGATCCAGCAATTTCTATACTTTTGTGTATAGAAAAGTATATTTGTATATTGTCTGTGTGTATATCTATGCAATATATATAACATATATATATTTGAATATAGTATATTTGAAATCAAAATAGTGTTTCCTTAGTACACAGTGACACATAACAGAGAATAAAATATGTTGTGGATATTTTTAAGATTTTAAGGAATTTTTTCTTTTTATCAATATTTAACCTTCTACTTTGAAATATTTTAAAAGCTAATACAAAAACAGTCAAAAAAGATGAAGCACTAGCATTGCTTAGCTTGACCTTGGGAACTTAAAAGTTGACTTTAAAATAACAAACTATCTTTTCTACTGATGTAGAGCAGCCTGATCTAGTGGAAAGTGCTCCTGCCCATGGCAAAGAGGGTTGAAACTCGATGATCTTTAAGGTTCCTTCTAATCCAAACTGTTCAGTGATTTTATATAAATCAATCTTACAGCAGCAGCAGACAGTTTATCTAAGCCAATTTTCAAGATACAAATTATTGCAGACTACAAACTAAACACTATGTCTTTGTTTTGTGTGAAATGGCATAGTAGCAGTTGATGGGAAAGAGAAACTTCATTCCAAACGCATGTTCTCTTTAGGATTCTCTGTGAAGACTCCAATTCCAAGAGGTGATAAATGACATTTAGCACTGGCCCGCATCAGTAACTCTAGCTGTGCAGCAGCAGACTACTTTTTATCATTCTGACTACAGATGGAGGACATCCAGTTTTCTCTTCCATATCAACTGAGAATATACAGTCCTGACCAAGAATGTGGACTGTGGAAACTTTCCCACTTGCTCAGTAGGAATTAAATTATCCAGTCCAGAGTATTGAAGGCATTCAGCAAAAAAGTCTGCCTTTTTATCTATTTCTTTTTCCTTGGAGTGTTTTAACACCTGCCATGCATCAGGAATCATTCACAAAATACATAAAAATAAAATACAGGAAAAACATCCACAAGTTTGTGCAATGTGCCTTAGAGAACATTACAGATTTGTCAGACCTTTTAAAATATGGCATTGGGAATAGCTTGAATTAAGGGGTTGGATCTAAAATGTCTGAGAATAAGCAGGGTGAAAATAGGCTGGTCACAGAAATTTTAAATATGCTTAAAAATAAGCCCTCATTCTGTCTTTCTGTATTTCTCTTTACACCAGGAAATTTAACCTGGGAGCACAGACACTCTCTGACATTTTGAAATTTAATCCCAAACAAGATTCCTGTCAGAAATACAGCCTCATGAAAATAATGGATCCAATCAAATGCGAAAGGTGTGACCTAAAATATCAAAATAAAAATGTTGCTATGAACTCTGTTGGACAGAATGCAATAGGAAGTGGCCATCAGACCACAACTTCGTAAGAATAGCAGACAACAAGTAAGCAAAGGCATTGGATTGGAGAAACTGAGGGAAGGTGGTGTAATGAGAGGAGATTAAATGTGGTCAAGTGTGGAAAAACCTCAGGGACGTTGCAACAAGGTTTCTGAAAGAGGGAATACAGATGAAAATTAAAAACATGATGGAACTTTTGATATACAGAGACACCTTAATGACATTTTTATCTCAATACTTTCAAGGTGTTCTCCTTAAAGAAAGCTTAAAGCATAAGCTGAAAAGTAAGTGCAAACATTTGAAAACATGAAAGTAATATGGTAACTCTCCTGCAATATTGATCAGCTGGGCTGGGAATCCTGCGGGCAGGTGAAGATGTGCACCTTTTACATCCCTGGTCCTGAGCCAGTTTCCTTAGCAAAGATAAGCTGATACTTCTAAGATTTTACATATCCTAAGGCAGACATCTGAAACGGGTCATACAGATCACCATGTAAAAATGTCAATATATCTCTGCTGGCCATATGGAGAGGGGTGTGACAGAGCAGCCTAAGATGTCCATAATGTACAACTCTGAAGGGAGGTAAGTTGAATCCCACTCAAAGCAGCAATTGTTTTCATGGAAACCCTTGCAGACTTGTCAGGAAATGCAAACAAATTTTCATGGGGACTCACCCTGAGGGTTATTGACCGAGGTGGTTTCTGAGGAGGATCTTCGTGAAGCCTGTCTCCCAAAGATGCCAGAACACGCTTCCGGTGGCCAATCAAGCTAATTTTTAAGACCTGAAATAATATCAAAAATACATCATTAAAAGAGCACATGGCAACCATTACATGAACATCCACTCAGATTAAAGCCATTTTCTCTTTAAACCTTTTAACAAGTTAGACCTCAAGACAGGCTGAGCAGACAGGGAACCGTGCAAGGCAAACAATCAGCAGAGAAAATAAGAAGTGAGATCAGAGGAAAAACACTATAAAATGAAGGAAGAAACTAGAGCATGTATAGGTGAGGAAAACTGAAAAAAACAGACTCAAACATGAGTAAAGAAGAAACAAAAATGAAATGAAGAGATGGCAGAAGAGCAGGAAGAAAAAAAGGGAAGAGGATGACAAGACTGGAGAAGGAAATGCGACGATGCATACAAACAGTGAGTGATGAGGATTACAGTGACTCATGGGATGGATGAGTAAAAGAGTGAGAAACAGCCAGAGAATGCTTAGAGGAGGCAAGAAGGGAAAAAAGGAATCGTATGATGAGTAAATGTTACAACTTTTAAATGCCTTTCACAGGCGAGGAAAGAGTTAAAACTGCAAGATTTGGCAGAGGAGGAAGGAATAGTTTCTCTCAAAGTGACCTTGCAGCTGGGAATGCTAAAATTGTTGGTGTGGGAAAAGTCCATTTATTATGCCGAATGTTGTTCATCCCCTGCCTGTTTTGAGAAGTGGAAGTCCTGTGGAGAGATAACACACTCGCACAGACATGGGGGAAGCCTTGTGTTAAAGCGAGACAGGAGCCCTCCCCATCCCTCCTGCCAGCTACAATGGAGCCATGTCCCTGTCCCTCTGTCACCTGGTGTGGTTATCAAGGTAATGACATAAATCCATCCTTTGCCTTTCGGCTGTGGTTTGAGGGTTGCCCTTGGCTACCAGTATGTGTAGATTCATGCACACAGGAAATCTCCAAATATCTCACACAGTTTGTTCTATTATGTAGAATCATCCTTGTGTAAGAAACACTGGGTGGACAAACTTTTACCCTGGAATTGTATTACTTTTTTTATCAGATGCAAAATCTCATAGAAATGGGTCCATCAGTGAATACATTTATGCTTGTCAAAACTCTGAGAAGGCTGCCAAAAATTTGCCCCAAATTCACAGCAACTACTCCTCGTTTGTATTTCTCTGTGTCCTTGCCTCATACAAAACCACCACTGCTTTCAGGAAGCAGAAGCAGCGAGTTGAAGATTTTAAGTATTGGTGGGAAAAATAACATATTTCAATGGTATTCTTTAATGGCTGCAGTGTATAGCAGCACTAATTGTAGCAGCAAAGCCTCTGCTCTGCAAACAGCAGTGTCCTTACATAACTCCTCCAGACTGTACATGTGGTTTCATACTCCAGAGCTGCCTCCATTCCCTCTCAGAAAACAGTACTTCCCACTATATTTAGGACCACCGTGTGTCAACACCCTTCAGCTGAGAGGAAGTTCTCACTCAACCTAGAAAAAGTAATAGTCCCCAAAAAACCTGGAAATGCTACATCTTAAATGAACAACTACCTCAGCTTAAGCGCTAGCACTAAGAGCTGCAATTCATGAGAACAAACAAGACCCAAACCCCAGCAACTCCCCTGCTACATCTCTTAGATGCAGTATCTCAAAATATGGGACAGCAACACACTGTCATTATTCTGGTATCCATGCCTACCCATCCATTATCCTGCCCATCCATGTGCACACGAATCCATCCACGTTTCCTCTGTTAGAAGTCTCTGTGCTATCTGATACTGCTGAACATCAATGACCTCTTTGCTGCCCACATCTCCAGAGCGATGGGCTGTGACATGAAGCAGATGGAGGCCTTCCTCCGAGAGGCAGCTTACAGGGCTGCTGCAGACCCTGCAGCTCAGCAGCGGACAAAAGTTGCAGACCCACAAACCTGCAATGTGCTATCCTTTCAGCCTAAATCTAGAGAAGCACGAGCAAAGCTGAGATAATGCAGCACACAGAGAAATGCCTGAGGCATGCAGGAGACTTAGTTATGTATTCAGTTTACACTGAGTGTTAAACAGAAGGGTGCACAGTTTATCTCTGTATTTAACTATGTGAAACACGTGAATGAACTACAGCTGCTTTAAGCATTACTCAAGTAATGCACTTCAGTGAACTTGCTTTTTTTCATAATGCTTCCCCATCAACAAGATAATTTATCCAGAGATTCTTAAGCCAAGCTAAAGTTCTTTGGGTTGTTTCAAGGTCCTCAGCACTCTGACTGCCTTATTAGCTATATCAAACCACACAAAGCAATTTTCTTTGACTTCACAGAGCTGTTGAACAACGGGAGAGAAAGACATGAGTCTTGAGGGACTGCACACATAAGAGATCAGCAGACAGGTCTCAATGACTAAATTATTTCAAAAACTGTTCTCAATTTGAAAGTAATACAGATCTTTAAACACCATAGGCACTGCTAAGCTTACTCCACATTTTGTTTTTCTATTATAATGGGGGTCACCCCAAATGCGAATGGGAGGGATTTAACGATGCAACCTACAGAAACATATGGTCCCCAGGCAACAGGCAGCTGCATCCCAGTCTCATCTGGAGCACATACTCTGTTAAGTGAAGACAGCTGTATTCTTCTGGAAATTACTCCCTAGCAATTTTCTTACATGGAAAACCTGTTTCTCAATGTAAAATACTGTTTTCTGAAACACTTCTATATTTGAGTTATGAGGGTTTAACAAACATCCTGAAACTCTGGAAACTCGTCCTGTGATGGATTATCCTTGACAGTATTTATCAAAAATGTCAAATACCACCAATATAGGTACACATTGTGGAATGGTACAGCTGCCTAAAGTAGTACCATAGAAATATGTTACTGTTGAAAGTCTTGCACTTAAACAGCCCACAAGTTAGCTTGCCTGGTATATAATTGCTATAAATCAGGTTACAGTGAACACTGAACTAACACTGAATAAGCCAGTCAATACAGTGCACCTAAGTGTCAGCAGTGAGGCATTCTGTCAAATGAATTGCAGCCCACTTACTACACAACAGTGGCATGAGTTTTGCAGGGTGGCTGCAGGAATCAGCAACAACACGTCGTCAAACTGCTCAGAGTAGCTCAAGGCTGTCAACAGTATGTTATTTCATCACTGGGACAAAAGGGAAAAAAAAAAAAAAGCATGGACATGACATGCTTCTTTCCACACTGGCAGCAGGATACCCGAGACAAGAATGATACTACTCCATTTCATGTATTTGATGTTGCAACACAATTAAAAGAGAATGGGGTAAGTCATTCATCCAAAGCACTGACACATGCACAAAAATTTAATCTTATTTTTACTTCTGCAATGATTAGCATACAAAATGAAATTCCACTAGGAAATGTAAGAAATCCACAAATATAACCAATGTAACACTTTGCATTTAGATCTCTAGCTTAGTTGACAGATGTTTCAAAAGATACATGTAGCCCAATAACTCCCTGATGACTGTGTATGTGCAAATGCTGGAATTAACAAGTTATTCCACCTAAAAATGAGCTTTATTTCTGCAACATTCTTCTGCCTGATCTTTTCTCTAATTGAATAATAATATTCAATACTGTATTACTGTACGATTCTGCTTTTTTTTTTTTTTTTCCAGAATATTACAAAGATTACTGAAATTCAAGACATTAATTCTCCTTCTTTTGGAATAACCTGAAAAAATTTTGTATGGGCTAAAATTAGGATCATAATAGCACAAGAGGTCTGGACTAAATGTATAGCAGCAATTGGACACTAGGAACCACCTACAAAATATAAAATTAAAGAGTGATCAGAACAGTGCTAGTGATTCTCTGGTAGCAGCATCAGACACCAGAATCCAAGAAAAAAAATGGTAAATGCAAGCCAAAAATTGGGATCTTCCTAGCTCAAAACACTTGCTAAAATCAATATTATTAACCATTTTACTGCTGATCATATTGAAATAAACTCCAAGCTATCTGGAATTACAGATGAAGGGATACATTTGATTATTACCCCTCTTCTGTCACAATGCTGCCTTAGAGGGCTAATCCTAAAACATGGCAGGGCCCAGAATACCCAGCAAGTGACCCCAGATCAACTGTACAGCTCACCTGACCAACGGGATTAGTTTAATTGGAAATTACAAAAGGATTAAACATACTTGTATAAATTTTCAGGGTCAAGTTTACACATCCTAACCACAGAACTGTTGGTAGTGTTAACAGTTAAAGCAAACATACCAACAAAACTCCCCAACAAATAAAAAAGGTCAAAAGACTCTATATTCTACATACTGACCGAGATTACTTGGTGTAATAATTGGTGTATTTTGAAAATTAAATAGTCCCAAGTCAGCTATGATACTTGAACTCAAGGAGGGCAGGTTTAGATTAGGTATTAAAAGGAAATTCTTTACAGTGAGGATAGTGAGGCACTGGAACAGGTTGCCCAGAGAAGCTGTGGATGTCCCATCCCTCGGAGCACTCGAGGCCAGGCGGGATGGGGCTCTGAGCAACCTCATCTAGTGGCAGCTGGCCCCCATGCCAAGGGACATGGAACTGGGTGCTCTTCAAGACCCCCTCCAACCCAAACCACTCTGTGATTCTATGAATGCCCAGTGGCTTTAGCAGCACCAGACAAAGCCAAATCCAGTAAAATCATATTAGACTTCTATTGCATTTTTCACACAGGGATACTTTATGCCCTTTCTCAGCACATGGCAACAGAGAAGCACCAAAGCATCCTGCTGGTCAGAGCCTTGCTGCAACTTCTCTGCTGTCCACAACTGTAGGGGAAGCAAGTGTTTATGTAAGAGACTTATTGTTTCATATCATAATGATTTCATATCATAAGGGTATGAAATATGCATCACAATCCTCTGGAATTAATTACCCAACTGGAAACAGATGTCGGTTGTCTTGATGACAGCATTTCACAAAGCCAATGGCTGTCTTCTATTCCCACTTCTATAAGTTATCATGAGGAACTGATCTTTGTTTGGTCCCCTATCACTCAAATAAATAATTGAGATGCAGATT